ATTGTTATTGTTGTTGTTGTAGTTGTTATTGTTGTTGTTGGCAATCTTGTTAATGTGATTGTCGTTGTTGTTGTAGTTGTTGTTTATGTCATAACCATCGTTTAAATCCAAATCACAATTAAATGAATTTGTGCTAGTGCAACTATTAATGTTTGCACTCATGTTGTTGATATCATTAACGTTAGTGTTGTTGCTGTTGCTGTTGTTGTTGCTGTTGTTGTTGCTGGTGCTGTTGTTTTGTTGCTGGACCGACCTGGCATTACATATGTTCCTAATTTCTTTCCTCAGATATTCCTTCGTTGCAGATGGTGTTGAACAACTTTCTGAACGGCTGTTGTTGATGTTGTTGTCGTTGTTGTTGTCAATAAAGTTTAGGTTGCTGTTGCTGTTGTCACTGATGTTGTTGTTGATGTTTTTGTTGATGTCTTTAACCAGAGTGTTGTTGCTGCTGCTGTTGTTAAAAGGGATGTATGCGTAAGGGTCTAAATCGAGAGACAAAGTATTGTCTATAGGCGAGACATAGTCAGCCTGTTGCTGTTGTTGTTGCTGTTGATGTTGTTGGTGTTGAGGATAGTATTGTTGTGTTTCTTGAAGTGAAAAATGTTGTTGTTGTTGCGTTGTTGAGTGTTTCTGATGGGAAGGCATGTTGATGCTTTTATGAAGTTGTTTTTGTTGTGATGGTATGCTGTTGTTGATGTTGTTGAATGTTTGTTGTTGCAGTTGCTGTTGTTTAATGTCCCTAAACATTGAAGAATTTGTTGGAGAGTAAGGTATTTGTTGAGGTTGGTGCTGATAATGATGAATCTGTTGTTGGGGGTGGTGGTGCGGTGGAGCTTTGCCGAGAGACATCATACGATAGTATTGTTGTTGATGTTGTTGTTGTTGTTGCTGCTGCTGATGTTGCTGTTGTAAAAGCATTTGCTGTTTTTGTTGCTCAACACCAAAATATTGTTGCTGCGGTTGACCTAATTCCATAGACGCTTTCTTTTGTAGCATAGGATTGCAGTTGCAATTTGCAACATCGCAACAATTTTGTTGTTGCTGCTGCTGCTGCCATATTTGTTGCTGCAGTTGTTGACGATGGTGAAAATGATGTTGTTGTTGCCGGAAGTGGTAGGGGTGTCTGTAGGGCATGTAAGGTTGACCGTGGGCCGCGTACTGTTGCTGATAATGCCGTTGCTGGCACATGTACCTCTGCTGCTTGGTCATCATCATCTGCTGCTGCTGCTGCTGTAGTTGATGCTGGTTGATTGTAGGAGCCATTGCATTGTACGCGCAAGGGTCTGCTACGTGCTGCTGGTACGGAGGCAACTGATGATGATGATGAGGAGGAGTGAGATGATGAAGATGTTGAGTTGGCGGCGGGGATGGGTAGCCAAGTTGAGAAGGATGTTGCG